AAATTAGTACTCCATCTTGTTTCATCTCAAGATTGTGCTTCCTAAAATAGTTTCTCAGATGAGTTGTTGGCATTATTTTTGAAGCAACTGAAGGAAGTAAAAAACTGATCAAACTGTTAGCCCATGACACAGGGTTTATCCCAACCACAGCCAGCCAGAGTTGCTCGCAGATCTTGTCTACAAATCAAACTTTAAGCTTTGTAGCTCTTCTTAAAACAAACTGACAAATAAACATGACTCACTATCATTTGTCAGTTTGTCAAAGTAGTCATTATATTTCACATTGGCAAGTGCAGCTTGTTTGAAAAAAATCAATTATATCCCAGGTCAGGAGTAGAACTGTAGAGGCACCAGGGTGCATGAAGGGATGATGTGAATTCACACTGATGTCTCAAATAGATTCCTGACAGTAGACATAGCTTTGCTGCAGCTGGCACTTCACAGCCTTTGCAAAGACAACAGCAGCGGCCCCACCCCCACCACCACCACCACCCTTCACCAACTTGTCAGCTTTGACCATGCCCTCGGCTTTCTCTACCCTTTATTTCTTTTTTCAGACAGTGTGCTCCATCTTCTAAACATAACACAGTAGGCCGAGCACATCTTAACCTTTGGCTAGGTCCGCTTGTACTTGGTGATGATAAAACACAGAGAACAAGACAGGGACATTTCTCCACATCTTTATGCTTGGGCCGGGGCATTCAAAACATTCTTATCTGCAACAATCATGGGTACTTTTTGAAATGTTTATCTTTGTCCTGATAATGGCTTACATAGATACCATAGATGAGATTTGTTGGTACATTTCCATAAGGGCAATGAGGTGATAATTACTAGAGCCTCATGTGAATACATTGTAAAGTTATGACACCAATACATAATTAATTGTATCTTTAATGAGTGCTACAGGCAAACACTGTTAGTATTCAACAAGAGGGATACAACTTAGCTTTTCTCATTATAGATACATTAATTTGTTCAAGTTGTCAAAGAAAGTAATGACACAGTTTCTGGGGATTGGCCTGTTTGTCCTACACAACAACATGTGGTATGTCTGAGTGAATTCCAAGTATAAAGTGTCCTGGGTTGCGGTCGAATAGTCCAAAAATCAGCTCCTAAGTTCTAACCCTATCGTCTATCCCTTGACCTCTGAGTGAAACGTCACGGGGTTAAGGGATAGTGGATAGGAGAATTCAAAAGGATTTAGGAGAAGAGACTGCGGTACTTTAGAGAATCCGACTGCACTTTCACTATCCGACGTGTTTATGATGCGCCAGCGGAGGTCATAAATGTGCGCCTGCTGCTGTGGGGAAACTATGGAAACTACCGTTTTCTATACAGCGGACTACAACATGGATGTTTAATAAGAACGAGGGACTACTGTAAACTCATCTAGAGACTCTGCACCGTGCTCTGATGCTGTTGTTTTATGCTTTATGAACGTGGACAACAGAGAAACATATTCTTCATGACCAAAGTTGGAATTGAAATAAAAAAGGAAAGTGAAACTTATGCTCGTCACCCTCTCCCTCCGGTCCACATTAATACAAATGATATCAATACGTATGAGTGTATGAAAAGATCTTAAAATCAATACAAATGTATTTATTATAAACATTAGTCCTTAACATCTATCACTGTGTATATCACCATTCAAACATCTTTTAAAAGTTGAACAAACCCCACACAGCTCAGTAAAGACTGTGAAATGTTGACTTTATTTGATCATTTCAGTAAAAACTAACGTTCATATTTCTCTTTTTGATTATAATACTGATGAACGTTCAAAACAAAGCACTTTGGCAACTTACCACATACGTTTTAAAATGCTTAATAAGAACCGTAACTTTCATGATATCATTTGTCGTTCATAATCGGTTGTTTCCGTGAACGGCCGAATGTTGTGTGATGGCAAATGCCGCGACCGCAAGGCATTGTGGGGCAGCATTTTCTCCTCTCCTTTCGGTTAGGGAGGTCCAGTGGTTCCTAAGCTAAAGGAGGTTATAAAGGAAGTTTGAAACCTCCTTTCCTTTCATTGAGAGAATTTGAACGGCACTTATCATGGCTGCCACTAGGGATGGGTATCGAGCCCCGGTATTAAACGGGCCCCGGGGCTGAATTATTAAAGACCGTGGTACCGTTAAGCTCCGACGTTATCGGTCTTTTTATCGGTACTGGAGACATCTAAAAAATATGTCATGTGTATTATTGCTACACAAACATTATATTGCAGTTTTAGTGTCGCCAACTCCGTTTCTAATACGCAAAAAGACTGCAAAATGCGTCATTTTTAGTATTTTCGATCTCTCCAATCCAGACGAGAGATCTCTCTCCCCCGCCTGCTTGCGAGGGGGCGGGGCAGTTTACACACACGCAGCTGCTACATGCAGCAACACACACACACGGAGGAGATGGCGGAGAGAACGCGCTCCGAGGTGTGGTTAAACTTTACCCGTCTCGCTCGTTGCCTAAAGTGCAATAAGAGTTTAGCATGTCAGGGCGGTAACACGAGCAATCTGTCTAAACATTTAGCAAAAGTGCTCCACATTCAGACGGAGGAATGCACCGTGTTCGACTGTCTTTCTAGTAGCTCTGTAGCCCCATCCACGAGTAACGTTTCCACGTCAGGTATATTATGTATGCTAGCAGCAACACACGGAGCTAACTCAATGATACAAACATGGGTTGATGATTAGAGGGAACTGAGTTATTTAGTTTGTTAAAGTTTCAGCCATTCTGTTCACAGTTCTGTCATCAGATTATTTAATATGATTTGTTAAAACGTTGTTGTTTCTGTTGATGTGAAATATTATGTATTTAATTTAAATAAAAAGCAATGTTAGTTTTGTTCACAATTTGTTAATTTTCATTTAATCGTTTATTTGAATAGGGACAATGCACATTAATGAACACTTTAGACAAATAATGCTCCAAGTGTAAATATGCCGGATTTTTAGCTTTGAGCTCATTTCCATCCGTAGTCCCTGACATACAACATATAGTTAGTTTACCTCATTTTTTTCTCTCCAAAAGAACCGATAAGAGTACCGTTAAAAGACCGGACCGATAAGCGGTATCGATAAAAGTAGTAGTACCGTTAAAACCTTAACGATACCCATCCCTAGCTGCCACTGAGGGACTTCCGGGTAATTTCACTCCGTTAGGAAGGTTCCTAAGCTAAATGGACTATTCGACCGCAACCCTGGATCCTCAGAAGCTCAAGCCAGACATCACTTTGACCTTTGACTCTTTAACTTCGATGGCAGTACAGAGAAAGGGAATGCTGAAATTGTTGCTCCTTCTATCCAGCCGGCCTCTCTACAGTATGTAGGCCACAATGTGGTCTGTGTTGCTCTCTTCTGTCCTCCTCCATGTGTAGTTGAGAGAACAGTGATGTCATTCTGCAGTCCGCCCCTGTTGTCATTCTGTGAAAGATGCTCCTTTCCACTTCGACTGGGCTGCTTTGTCCTTTGTTCTGTGGAGGTGGCCTGGATCAGTTTGTGGGCTTCCTGCTAGAACAGAAAATTGCCATCTGTCATTCTTGGAATACTGAAGAACAATCAAGTCGATTGTGTTCAACAACTGTCACTGTTATTGTACTGTTGTTGCTATCTTTATAGACTTATATAACAATAGTTTAAGAGTTGATCAGTTCAGCAAGTTCACTCAGATGGTGACTTAAAGTTATCGTTTTTAAATGTATTTTAAAGACAGGTCAGAAATGCCCCAAAAGAGTCTGCATTACGGGTATCAGGCATATCTTCACAATATTTAATGAATTGACTAAAACATATCTTCTAAATGTTGCTAATTGAATGTTTCTTGTTTATATATTTTTCACATTTATCATATTTTTTAATTAACTGGCTAAGCAGAATGCACATTTTCCCTCTTTTTCTTAGCCTAGTTGAACACTTGATAAGCAAAATAAAGTGCTGTTTGTGCTGTGCTCTGCTGAGGCTGCAAAAGTAGTTTTCAGGTGAAATATGTCACGGTTCTGTGAGAAATGATTGCGTTTTTAGTGTGAGTTTCACATTCTTATTTGGTCACAAACTATGAAATCATATGGTTTTCTTTGTTTAACCTCTGAAAGAAATGCTACCCAAAAACAGCTACCTTGGGCTAGTTGTACGCATCTCATCATCCCCAGGGCTAAAATCAAAGAGCTCCCACAATGCCTCATTCATCTCGTTTATTTCTCTTACTAGCTTTCTTTAATTCACTCTCCTTTGAGAACCCTACTGCAGGTGTTAGGCCTTGCTCATTGCAACCTTACCAATATACGTTTAATTGATCTAACTTTTTTTGCTAATGTTGATCCAAACTATTCCTCTGCTTCCTATCCAATAGACCAAAGCTTTTGTTTGTTTTGGACATAGCTGCTCTAGATTTAGGCAGCATGCACACATCTTCTGTTGGTCTTACTCAGCGCCCAGTCCGTCAAGTCTTACCACCTGCACTTTGTAATTGTTCTGAGCACTGGGAGAAGCTTTTCTTTAGATTTAGTCGGGCCATGTGATGTTTCAGCAGAAGTCCTCTGACAAGTCATTAAAGCAAACGGACGTCACAGGAAGGTGGGAGTTGGAACTGAATAGAAGCATATACTGTAAACTGAAAGCTAAGTGTTAAGGGACAAATGGATCTGGGCCCAAATGTTGAATCTTTACTTATGACGTTGGCACAGCTATTCATTTTGTCTGTACTTATTATAGTGGCGCTGTTGGAAGAGAAGCATCATTTTGGTTTAATACATTTCTATTCAAACCTAGAAATGAATGGTTTAAAAGTGCCCGAGTCACACTATATTCCCTTAGTAACCATTGAGATGTTTTTAACTGAAATCCATAAAGGAAAAGTTCCTTTGAAAACATGCTATTTTATCTGCTTGACTCCTCTGATTTGTTGCAAGAGGTTGCTTATGCAGCTAACTAAAATATGCTATGTTAACACAATGAAATGTAATACAAATATTGTTAATCTTTTTTTTTTTGTGTTTGCAGGAAGAAGTCTTTTCTCTTCGCTGCACTATACGTTGCCGTTATCCTCGGCGGCCGCCATGTCATGAAACCGAGGGAGAAGTTTGAGTTGAGGAAGCCACTGGTGCTATGGTCGCTCACACTTGCTGTGTTCAGGTGAGACAGCGCTGATATTATTAATATGATTAAATAAATATACATTTTAATCATTATTATTTCAAATAATAAAATCGATGTTTTCAGTTGGTGTACCATAGTTTTCACGAGTCATCAAGGTGCACAGTAGACAGACAGTGGATTCATTATCTATGTTTTGCAATGGTTGCAGTGGCGTTTGCATCCGCAATAGTCTACTTAGTTTGACCAGTAAATCAGTGCTAACTTTCTTGCCTTTATGTACATATAAATACAGTGTGTAATGACTTTGAAATTATAATAATGTTTGTAACATTAACTTCATTAAAAAAAAACATTAAAAACCAACAAAAATAGGTTTCATTCACATAGAATATACTTCACATATCAACTACAGTCACAAAATAACCACACATTTTTCTACTTCAAGGATTTCTTATGTTTGCTTTTTCTCACTGTCTTTGTAGTATATTTGGTGCCATCCGTACTGGAAGTTACATGATGTACATCCTGATGACCAAAGGGCTTAAACAGTCAGTTTGTGACCAGAGCTTTTACAACGGGCCTGTCAGCAAGTTCTGGGCCTACGCCTTTGTACTTAGTAAAGCACCAGAACTGGGTAAGTCGAGACCTTTTCATGTCTTATAGTCAGGGGTGCACATAACTGGTACGCAGGTACGGCAACAATCTGAAATGCGTACCGTCACTTGTGTCACAAAGCGCATTTGCGTACCGACGTACTTGTGAAGCGCTGTACTCCAGCTGTACTCCAGCACTTTCTCCACTGAGAAAGTTGTGTGCACCCCTGCTTATAGTGTCTGTCCACTGGGCATCATTTTTGCTTGTGCGTAAACCATCTTGCTATGTAAATTAACAGGCCACCAAGTAAGGTTTAGTTTTTGTCATAATTGAGAGGGAATTACTCATAGGGCCCTTAGTTTTACTTTTAATCATCTTAGCTTTTACCTATTTTTTCACTCCTCTCTCCAAGCTCAGGCAAACAGCCTTGAGAGAGCTGTATCTACTGGTATATATGATAAGGCAGGCTGTCTCTTTTTGCTTTGGCTTCAACCACAGCTGTCGTTAGATATGACCATAAAACAATATTTTTTGTTAAGACCATAACATGACAGTTTGACCCTGCCAAGGACAGGATTTGCAGCGTCTTGTAGTATAATGTTGTTTATGCTCTTAGGAGTTTTTAAATGTTAATGACAAGGGAAGAGAATCTCAGAGTTGGTTTGGGCAGAGGCTGTGTCGTTACGGTTGTTAGGCATTACAAACAGGCCTATAGTATTATATGAGTGTAACCTTACAAATAGAAGCTCCTGGTGACTGTTTTACCACATGCACTAAGTGGCAAAAGAGTGAGTCAGGACTGGCATAAATGGTCATTCTCTAACCGTTTCAAGCAGGTGTTTATCTACTACTGTACGTGCTCTCTACAAAACTCCAGCTTCTTTTCGACAACCCTACTTTCTCTATCATTTCCGCAGGTGACACCCTCTTCATTGTCCTGAGGAAGCAGAAGCTCATCTTCCTCCACTGGTACCACCACATCACCGTGCTGCTCTACTCCTGGTACTCCTACAAGGACATGGTGGCCGGCGGTGGATGGTTCATGACCATGAACTACTTGGTCCACGCCGTCATGTACTCTTACTATGCCCTGCGTGCAGCTGGTTTCAAAGTGTCACGCAAGTTTGCCATGTTTATCACACTGACCCAGATCACCCAGATGCTGATGGGCTGTGTGGTCAACTACCTTGTGTACTCGTGGATGCAGCAGGGCCAGGAGTGTCCATCCCACATGCAGAACATTGTGTGGTCTTCCCTCATGTACCTAAGCTACTTTGTGCTCTTTATCCAGTTCTTTATTGAGGCCTACTTTGGCAAGTCCAAATCATCGGCAACAACTGTCGCCAAGAAGAGCGAATAAACAAGTGCCATAAGTACGGGAAGAAGGGAGATAATGATGAAAAAGGTAATTGGGAATGAAGAGCAGGGACCAGTGACTTGAGATAATCTGTTTGGTGTAAAGTTTGTTGCAAAGAAAGATGGTTGATGCGGAGCAGGCATAGGGTTGGGGTAGTGGTGGGAGAGTCAAGAGATGAGTACTGTTTGTGCTTGAGCATTACTACTAATGTGCAGATCTAAAAGCCCTCAATGGATGTAGTTGAGGGATACGGAGGAAGCAGCATTGCCATGATCAGAGCCATTACAACATGTCCACCTGGTGTTTAAAAGCCCTTTTTTAAATTCATGATGAACAGTTTTTAAAATCTTAAATGTACCTAAAGTACAACATGACCAGATAAAGAAAAATGCCATAAGCATATGTTTACTTGATATTAAATAAATATATTAATTGGTACATAATGAAGATGTATAGGTTTGTTAACTTGGGCCATCTGAGTGTGTCTTGTCCGTCTGTTGTCAATGTTTTTTGTTTTGTTTTGATCTGTCAAAGAAAAAGTTTGAAACACTGGTAAGTGTTGGTGGTTGTGAACTGATGGGGTGAACGGCACTGTATCTTCTGTGTCTTACATTGCGAAATGCGATATTTTCTCAGGTCTTAGGTTATCTCTTTCTTAATATAATATGCATATCAAGACAAAGTAGACATGTTTAAAATCAGCAATGGTTTACAGTATGGCAAAAATGACTTCAGTTTGCTTGAAACAAATATGAATGAAGCTGATTGAACGTAATGACTCGGATGATCACTCTACTCCTGGGCATGAGGGGGAAACGGATGCTAACAGTGCCCTGCTTCACCAAATGCAGAGGTTGCTGACCACGCTTGGAAAATGACTTGCCATTGATTTCCAAATGCTACTCTGTTGAATGGTCCCTACCAGTGAAGAAATTGTGTATTTTGGACATTGAAGGCCTAAATGAAGAACAAACAAATTTATGTTTAGCAGAAGAAAAAACAACAACATACAAATTGTCAAAATCTGCTGTATTGACTTTGAAAATAGTATGTACCCTGATGGTGTCTGTTGTGCTATTGTGCATTTGCACTGTATCAATGTCAAAAACAATTGTTGCTGAAAAACTTAACGTAAGAACAAAGAGTGAAAAAATATGAAATGCCTCTGGTTTTTTTGTTGTCACATCTGTAACATCTTGGTCATTCTTAATATTTTAGGTGCTCAACCTGAAAAGCCTGTTTAGGGCTTACATTGCAGATTTAGAAACGGCAATATTTAGAAAGGTTAGAGGATGATTATTACTTTCAGATATGTTGAATAAAGTGTAAGCTTGCATGCTTGATTCAGTGGATCATATGTAGCAGTCATTGCATACACTTAGGCACACTAAGTTGTGTCTGCTATTAGCTCTTAAGCATATTAAGGATGACTTTTTCTGGTTTCACAAGTCAATATGTGTTAAAGCTGGATTAAATTGGCTGGTGTCAGGTATAAACAGCCTACATGACCTGAGTAATTGAGGTGCTCTACCAATTAACAATTCCCAAATTACTCTCATGTATTCAAGAGTGTCCACATCCGCTGTACCTGAACAATCCCTAGTCTTGCATATTGTGCAAGAAAACTTAATCTGGGTATCTTGATCAACAACAGATTGTTAAATTATTTCCTGTGATGAATTGTTTGAGATTTAAACATAAGCAAATCACCCTTGCTTGATTTCACATTAGAGACACACCTTTGAGCTAAAGCTTTACTCTAACAAAAAGAAAAAAATTAGCCAAATTTGTTTCCTTGTGGCTTGTTCAGCAAACTAATGTTTATTTGATGAAAAAGAGAAGTAAACATGGTAGCCGGAAGTCTCCGTTTCTTCTCGCCCTCACATTATAAAACACGTAATTTCCGGCTACAGCTTTTATTCGGTTCGTAAAGACTGAGTTAAAACCATTATTTATTTTGCTGCAAACGGCATTATTTGTTTCACTGGAAAAAAGTCTGAGAAATGTATTCTATAATCGGTAAGTGTTGTCAAACGACCTGCATGGTAATTCAAACGATGAATTTAATGCATCTTCAAGAAACAGGTTTAGCTAACTGTTACTGCCATTAGTCCCACTTTTGACCGCATATCGTATATTATGACATCGCAAACAAGTATTTAAAATATAACCCGCTGCTAGGAAATAGCTCAAGGAGAAATATATATATATTTTTTTGACAAACTGTGGGGCTGTGATGGTGAAGTCACAGATGTGGCTAATGCTAATGTTTTAGCTAGCCTCAGCTGAACGAACTTTCTTGTTGGGAAAAATTAAACATGCTTCAACATTACGAGGTGAGCTCAATATCACATTAACAATACAACTCAAAACATTAGTGCTATGAGTTTTACATAATTTGAAATACTGCCATTAACTCCAGCTTCAAGTGCATTATTTTAGGGGTTATGAGCAAACCATTTTTAATAGCACAGGTGTGTATAATGACACTGATGACTGCTATAATTAATGATATCTGTATACACCTGTGCTGTTCCAGCTCAACATGTGTGTAAATAGTGAGTGTTGCAATGGCATTATCGAAACTATTAACTCTAGTAGACAAAGCATGTGATACAGAGATAGTATAGCCTACTTTATTCATAGCCTATAGCATTGTTTATGAACATGCTTACAGAACAACATAGTTGTAATTAGCAGAGCATTAGCTATCTAGAAATATGTCAGGCCAGTCAATTTACCTGGAAGTTATTTGTATTCACAAATCAGTTTTATTTAAACCTTTCTCCTTTAAACCAATTATTGCTTAGCAAGTTATGACAATTATTTAGTTGTGTTGCATACTATGTGCCTAAAATTGAAGAATTAAAACAGTGACTGTCACATTACTAAATGCAAATCCACAACCTTTTATCCCCCTGAATTTCCTTAGTATGGTAATATTGTATTTCTGTTATAACTTTAATTTGAGTTGTAGGATTATGTCGTCTCAACCAAGAGGTAGGCTTTTCGATTGTCTCTGTTTTTGTCACAGAGTACATTTTATTACCCTCTGTTATTAACATACCTCCTGTTTTACGTGACTGTCACATTTAATGTAGTGAATGTTGTTGTGCAGGGTGCAAAGGATATGAACACATGGATGCTTTACATTCTGTACAGTATCATTCAACAAGTTCAGTTTGAAGTACATAAAGTGCACATTGCTGTGAACTTTAAAAAAAAAAAAAAAAATTCAAATGTTATGGGTCTGACTCACTAGAAGCTTTTGAAATGACATAAGTCAGGCATGTGAGTCTGCAAACTATGGACTATTAAGAAAACATTTGTCATATTTCAGAGTTTGTTTTGTAACAGCTTTGCACAATTACATTTTTTCGTAAAAGTCAGAATTCTGAGAAAAAAGTCTCAGAAAATTAAATAACAATTCTCATGAGGACCTGACCCTGTTTCATACAAAAGAGAATAGATTACTAATATTGATTTATATGACATTTGTAGACAGCCATAATAGAGCTGCTCTATGCCAGAAAATGGTTAACGCCCTGGTAATCCCATCCAATATATACAGCTAAACTCTAGTTTACTGTGCTGAGATTTGCAGAACAGACAAAAGGTGTATTATTTAACTGAAGTGATTCATCTAACATCACTGTTTTTATAAATCTACACTGAAACAGTTCAGTCCTGTCAGACTTGCTTGCACATTAAAGGCAACAGTAGGTAACAACCATTTACATGGAATTTAAGGATTTTGTCCTAGGATTCTTTCCCCCCAATGAGTTACTGACCAAGCAATCACTTTTAAACAGTTCAAACTGGAAACTGTACTACAATTTATACTGATACAGTAATATAAATATTCCTGTCACAGTTTCTGAAAATTGACTTTTTTTCACTGTGCACTATCGCCATCTGCTGGCACAAAATGGCCATGACACATATGTATTCCCAGACCTATTTTCCTTTGAGTATTCCTGGTGGAATCCAATTGTAATTACTTTTTACATTACATTACATGTCACTTGTTAGACGCTTTTATCCAAAGCGACTTACATACTCAATACTGTGGGCAATCCCCACAGGAGCAATTTGGGGTGAAGTGTCTTGCCCAGGGACACAACGACATGCTGACTGCAGTGGGGTTTGAACCTGTGACCCCCTGATCCGAACACCAACGCACAATCCACTGCACCACACGCCACCATTACTTGTATGATTTCACTCTAAAATTCTCATGTTTTGACTTTTTGTTTTGTTGTGTCCTGGCTGTAAGACCAACTCTTAGAGTGAGTATGTAAACTGCAAGAGCAACTTTGTTTTACACCCATTTCAGAAACACCCATTGGACCAAAAACATCAGATTATGGCTTGTCTCGTTAGTCATTGTCATTTATTTTAGAGTAACAAGGATGATTCTTATTTGACCAGAATAATGAAAACAAGGCTCGGTGTCACCCTGAAAGCATCACCTGCTCAACAAAACTGAGATGGTGAGCATTGGTTTTAGCTGGGTGTTTACAGTCCGATGATGTCTTAAAATGTTTACAATCTCTGTAAAAATGTAGTTTTTTTTGTTTATCCTTTTTAAAGTTTGCATGGGAATATCTATTTAAACATAATGAATAAGAGTTGTGAATCTTATTTGGGGTTTTAGGATAAAAACATTTACATGTAAGTTATGACTGCACTCAAATACAGCCTTTTATCTTCTGGATATTTGGAAATCAACATTTTAAAGCTATGTTTTGAAGTTGTTTTAAAGGAAAAAATAATTGATATACATTATCTTGGGATTAGCTGTCCCTTGAGGGAAAGTATACGTTAGGCTTTAAAACTCAAAATGTTACCTCCAACTAGCCCCCAGGAGACAAACAACTGAGAGAGCTCCCAGATTTGGGACTTTTCCTCCTCTGTGGTGCATCCATAGATTCTGGCTCATGTGTCTGAGTCCAATACATGCATTAGACCCCCCCCCCCCCCTTTTGATTTTAAATCTTCCCAAATCCTTGCAAACTAGTGTTACTCTGTCCTGCTCAAGAGCTGGAGGGAGCAAACACTGACCTGGAGGATCAGAGCAAAGCCTTTGAGTGGGTAGCTAATTCCTTCTTTAGCCCTCATCAGCTGTCCTCCGGGCTGGGATGGAGGCGTGAGCGATGAAGCAAAGCTTGCCCCATCTGGCAGGAAAATACACAATTAGCCAATAGTGAAGATTTTAAACTACTGTAGTAGTTACCTATGCGTTTTTGTGTTGTTAGAAAACACTAGTTCTTAAATATGCGCATTAAACTTACTTTTAGTACCTTTCCATTATAATAATTGTTTGCCTTTTTCTTACAGTTTTTCTACCAGATATCCATTGATACGTTCAACCCTTCACAACACCCCTCTTATTTGATATTTAAAGTATGAAGCAAAAACTAAAACCAAAACGTTTTTTGATTTGAATACCTAATTTCTATTATATTCAAGTTTAATGTATGCATTATGAGGGGTGTGTGAGCTTTGAATTACATAACCACAAGCTCTCTGATCTGATTCAAGAACCTTCCCTTTTTTACTAAAAGCGACGGTAAATGTCAGCTCTAATATCAGTTGCTGGCCTACAGAAGTAGCAAATAAGTAGAATGCCTAGCTACAACTAGTTTTAGGTTTTGTTGGAACTATACATGCTTCATAAAATTATTTGTGAGGATGTAGTGTGTTTTGCATTATACGTAAAGTGAAGTAAAACATTTTCTTCCCAATGTATTCCAAAACTCTTGTTTTAGACTGCATTAATTGTATTTAGGTTACCCTAATGATGTAAGAGTATACTTATGAAAGTATTTAAACAAGAAGATTGATACAACAGTGAGTACCTTTTAAGGCCTCTGTTATTTACACCATCTGTGACTCTATTGCCCCCTGTTGCCCCAATTGAGGAGTAATACAAGATAAATTGACACTAGGCCCAATTTTATCTTGACTTGAAGGCTGAGCTGCCGCTGTTTTAGAGTGGTGCCTAACCTATCAGTTAGCCTTAATGGAGGCCAATATATAGATAAGTGTGTCTTGCCAGGAAAATCAATATCGATGTGGCCCCTGATGGTTTTTGCATTAAAGTGCTTTGTTTTCTGCCATCGCCTCGAAACAAAGAGGCCATGGGTGCTTCTATTAACAATCCTCAGTCAACCTTGAGACAGAGTCACAGGCAGTCACAGATAGAAATAGAAAGTGACAGATGGGGTGGTGGTAGTGAAGGGCTGCAGCTCCGGTACCAACATCACTAGAGCGTTAGATTTGGTGGAGGATAGAAAAGCATCATCAGTGGAGCAGGGGCAAGAGCTTGAGAAGAGCGTGGTGAAGTGTAATTGAGACGAGCGGTGAATGGCCAAAATAATCTTCCAATTATAAGAACAAATAATATAATTAGAAAGTGTATTATACTATGGAAAGGGTATGATACAAAGAACAGCAAACATTTAGTAATGAAAATAGTTTTTATGTGTACAGTTAACTTGGGTTGATGCAAACATTTTTGCAGTTATTAACAAAGCCCATTTTGGTGAATATAGTTTTATTGATGGATAAAATGGCAATCTTGCAATTTGGTAATTCCAGTTATAGCACATACTGTAGGGGCTGAAACAAATATAATATAATACAGTGTGAATCAACTCTCTTGAAGGTGGTTGTATTTAAAAAAAATAAAAAATATTACCATAGTTTTGCTTGTCTAGATTTAAAAACCTTCAAAGACATGAAACGGAAATCAACTACAAGTTCCCTCCCTTTGAAACCAAGCTATCCAATTCAGTCCTCAACTAAACGGCTATCCAGCTCAGTGTTCTCCTACCTTATTTTTTTAATGTGTACATATACATTTTGCTTTGACACACGTTAACACAGATCTTTTGTATAAAAATAAAAATATACAATTGTTAACAATATCACAGTTGTCAGGTTAGTCGTGTTAGCTTAGTTGAGCTAAGGCTGATGTGCTAGCTGTCATACTTGGCTAACTATGATCAGGTTGCTATATAGTAGATTTTCAGTTTTTTATATTTTTAACATCACAACATCAGACTGACAAGATGAGAAAAACATTCTTTCACACAGCTTGATGATACAATCTCAAACTGGATCTAACATATCATGGAGTTTAAAGTAGCTAACAGCCTTAAAGGAAAACTTTTTAAATGAAACTAATCCATGAAATAAAGAACACATGGGCAAACATTGGGGATTTCCAAACACTAAAACTAATGCATCCCTTTTTATAACAGAAGTAGTTATTTGTTATTGGGGAAGATACGTTTTAATTGTAGCTCAAAGTTTATTATTAAACCTGTTGACTTGCTCACGCCAGAAACACAACACATTGCATTATTGAGAAGGCTGCACAAACATTTTGCACTATTTGATGGGAGACTTGAGATCCTTCTTAGAGATGGCAACCAACGTCAATTATTCAGTGGAAGCTGAAATGCATAAAAATATCCCAACAAACCTTACACTACAACGTTTTTGTAGGCCATCCCGTACTGAGCAAAGCCAACTTGTGTGGCAAAAGAAACATGGAAAACACATTAGGCAAAACTGTGCTTAAGAGCTATAAAACAAAATTGCCGTGACTTTTTTTGTCAGTATTTTGCTTTATGCTTCACAAACACGCTGTTTTTCTGATGGGTCCATCTAAAAAAAAAAAAACGGCTTGTTGTGCCATAAGCTTTATTCTTTGATTTATTTCAAAAAGTTAGCAATGGAAGTTTTTTTTTTTTTGCGGAAATGTATAACAAGATGTTGCCCAGTTATAACACTTTACAACTACTTTGGAGCTTTTTTGATAAAGGCATAGACCCTTTTTTTTTTTACATGACGCTATTTTCAGCCACATTATTAGTATGACCTAAATGTTAGAGCAGAGAGGGTTTCATTTTTGAATACTTTATTTCAGAAAACGGGGCATTATAGAATACAGTTGTATTGCTCAGTCTTGTGCCATATAGTTTCCTTCAAACTTGCATAACTTTACGTCCAGTTTGATTTACTGGTCAAACAAACTGCTGTCACTACATCTTGCAATATTAAAACCATGTATGTCAATCAACCTTTTTAAATCTGGTGCTTCCATTTAGATGTGCTTTAATAAACTGGCATGGCATTATTAAAATGTGAATGTTAAAGGAGAGGTGTCATGGTCATTTCCACTGATCATAATTCCATTGTTGAGGTATACTAAAATAGATTTATACTGTGCATTTTTCCAAACTCACATTGGTTTCTCATACAGCATCTCTGTAAACTACGTGTATTCACTGAATTTCACTCTCTGCCTTTAACGGCTCGTTGTAGCTCCCAAAGCTCCAGCCCCCACCCTCCCTGTGAGCACAGTGTGCTCTGATTGGTCGGGACGTTGTGAATCGCGCTGAGCTCCGTGGAGGTGTTGCTTCCTTGTTTAGGATACATAGCGAAACACAGCCAAACTCATCCTGAGTACACACAAACTCACATCCGAAGTAAAAACAATAAGTGTGGCTTGATATTGAGTAAGAAAAAGGTTGATAAACGCTGTGAGAATGGGTCTGCAGAGAGAATGTTGCCGCGATCCCAACTGTCTGTTATCAGCCTGCAGCCAGGGAGGATGTGTGTGTGAGGAAGTCCGTGGATCGGTCAATTTGGACCAATCAGCGGGGGCTTAACGTAACGGCTCCGCGGACGTAACGTAACGGCTCTTCGGGATTGGTCCATTTCGTTCCGGGTACCGCTTGACATCATGCCGTACCCGGAACGAAATGGAAGACTCAAATGGCCAGTGACGTATCTCCAACGAGGCGTTTTGGGGAGGTATTTTCTGTGTTAGAGTTTTACTCGCTACAGGGTGTACTTTGAGGGTTTTGACTCTGCACACCGTTTACATGCATAAAAACCTTCATAACACACAAGGGGACGGGTAATAACCGGAAAAGCATGACATGGGAGCTTTAAAGAAATCGGCAGATATATTTAGGTTAGGGTTAGGTACTAAGTAACATCTTCCATGACATTTCTTTCATTTTTGAGGTTTTATTTTTATAAAACCTTCAAGAAATAAAGGGATCGGGTGGTGCAGGAATGAGTCCTGTATCCAGGAAATTATTTCACATTTTATCAGTTTTTTTTAATGGGTTTTTGGTTAGCATAGTTTGTGGTTACCCAAAGCTTAAGAATGTTTCACATTTGTTCTGCAACATACTGGTGAGTCTCTATGGGTTGTAAAATGGAGGTTACTGTCTAAATGAAACGATGTAACGTTAACAATCCGAACTCCAGTCCGCGGTTAGCTTAGCAGTGGTGACGTGAAGCCATCCGACTGTGATGCACTTCCTTCATAGCCTAACGTTAGCTTCTATTGCATTTACAACAATTATGAAAGCAGGGTTAATAAGTGGAGATTATCCTGACGTATCATAGACATTGATTTGTCACTGAGCTTATTTTCTGCAATTATCTAAAATCCAATAGAAAATCCAATGGCTTTTCGAGGGAGCTCCTCCAAATGCTAACTTCTTGGTCGGCTTACGTAACACCTTCATCCCTGCACCACTCGGTATGAGCTAGACGGTGATTGACTTGAGTGATGGACATGTGGATGCGTGGTCTCCATGGCAACAGCAGACACCATGGAACACTCGTACCCTCTGTTGTGTTGGGACAATGTTCCCGACCCTTCAGACACAGGGTTGTCACCTGGCCAAAAAAAGATAATCATTAAGATATTAAATTGCTAACAAGAAAATGGACTAACGTCCTTGTGTGCAAAGATTAACGCCAAGGTGTTTTTTATTAGTTTCAGGTACCTGTTTCTGAAGAGCAGGATGTACAGACGGCTCTTCTGGGACAGCCCATGGCAGGGATGATCTTTCCCATCATGCCGTTTTCTGCCACCATGTAGAACTGCAGATACATACAGGTATTCGTCAAAATGTATGAGTTTTTATAAACATCCTAGAACTATATCTCCATTTCTTGTGTTGTTTCAAATTTTTTTTTTTTTTTTTTGTCTTATTCTGACATCTTGCTCGCTAGTATTTATATGTTAAGTTGGATTTAACTTAACTGGGGTTTGTATTTTCTTTAACGTGAGCTTTGAAATATGATATCGTGAAGACCATGATGGCTCTACTTTGACTTATGTCTGTTGCATTAGATGACTTTCTTTACTTAAAGTTGTATTTAGCACAGATCTTGTGATGATGGTCTTACCCGAGGCACGCTGGTGGTCTCTGACATGCTCTCATCTGTCACGCTGGTCTCACTCACATTATCCACTGAGGGCTGTTTGTGGAAGAATTTTCTAGTTCTGCGTTGAAGAAAGAGAAAGCAAACATGCAGTATTGTAAATTATAATTTTTGTACAAAATATTCACAGACTTGCATGGTGTTTACATGGTTATCAATTGAAAGACGTGCCCTTGTATAGAGAAATTATGTTTAAATTCAACATTGTAGTTAATATGTCTATGCTTTAAGTGGATTTATTAGAATTTTGAACTGGAAAAAAAACATCAAATGAAACAAGCTGCTTTTTGACATCACTGTGTACTGTATGATATATTATTTGTGTGTATGTGTTGCACAGTGTTTGCTGGTTTAGTTTCCTCTGCATGCACACTTGCAGTCAAGTGCAGAAGGCAATTTGAAGAAGAGCTATTGGCGGCTATGTAGCGTTTCCTCTGGGGTCATACCTCAGCGGCTCCATTCTGTAGCTGAGAAATGACCTATTTTTATGTGTAATTGCTGTAGAACAAGCTAAACCAAGCATGTAATTGAAAGCGTGCCACTTCCATAGGGGAACCAAGAGTGCAAACGTTGAGATGTCGTAGGTGGAGGGGAGGGGTGTGCTTTGTGATTCAAAGGAGTGGAGAATGCCAACGGCCTTGTCCATAAGCCAGCGAAACAACCGTAAAACAAATCAGCTACTTAGAGACAGCTCAGGTGGAAATAACAGGGAGGAGGGGTGGCAGTGTGTAGTTTACGTATGCTCCCCTCTCCGCTAACCAGGGTTGCATGCTGCCATTCGTTCCACATGTGACCCCCTGCTGTCAGACTGAGACTCCTACATTACACGGCTCATGCCATCCTGGGTTTGATAGACATCTCTAAATGCTGTCAGCTCATTCATCGCTGGAGCAGCTCCTCCCCCTCTGTGCTGCTCTGGGCTTTCAGTGTCCAGAAGACTCAACAAACAATGCTTATTTTATACAATAATATGGCAATGCTTCTGACATTTAAAGGTCCCATGTCATGGCCATTTATACTGATCATAATTCCATTGTTGAGGTCTACTAGAATAGATTTACATTGTTCAATGTTCCAAACTCACATTGGTTTCTCATACAGCATCTCTGTATAGTATGTGTATTCACTCTCTGTCCTACACGCCTTGTTGGAGCTCCTGCCCCCCCCTCCCTATGAGCCCACTGTGCTCTGATTGGTCAGCTCGCCCACTCTGTTCTGATGAGTCCACCACCGTTACAGCGGAACATCAGTGATTATGTGTTACAATGGCGTTGGCAACCAGAAAATGACACCAGTAATCATGGATGCGGGAAGGGGGGGTGCTGAGGGGGCTGCAGCACCCCCATCTGCGAGGCTCCACTAGCACCCACACCCCCAAATGCGGCGCACCTACAGTATAAGCGCCACAGTTTCGCCGCTGCGAGGCTCCACTTGCAACCCCCCCGCCCGCATAACAGCATTAAAATAAATGTTTGGACATTATCTTGCTATATTCAGACAAGGTTAGTTTTTCTTTGCATCATATTATCCTTTGGGATAACCACTTTAGGAATTTGAAATGTAGTCTAGAGAAAATTGTTAAAATATTAATTAAGCCTGATTATAGAACATTTTAGCAACAAAAATAGTTGACGCTTGTTCATTTTAACATTACGCATTCTATGGATATTTCACTATAACTGAAACTCAATATTCTTGTTTTCCCAGCTAAACTCCGTCTCCACTGCCTTTTCTTCCAGCCATTGTCACCACTATGTTTTTTTGGTTGCCGTCTTTTTCTTTCTTTGACTTTATATTTTTTTGTCCCATTTTCCTTTGAACTTCTTTTGCTTTGATGTTCTTGCCCTTTCTTGTTCTGTTCCCAACCTTTCCTTTATTATGGCTTTTTTTTTTATCAGGCTTTATCTTCTCTCCCTGCTTTCATCCTCACAGTTTTAACGTGTTCTTTCCTCCCCCCCCCTCTCACCCGTAGCAGTAGGTGGCGCAGGCAGCGATGGAGAGCAGGGAGACGAGGAGCACCATGCAGGCCGCGATCACCACGTTCCTCCTCTTCTCCTCCTCGGCCTGCTGAAGCTCCCACCACTCCAGGTCACTGAACTGGCAACGCTCCCCCATATAGCCTGGTGCACAACTAGAACAGGAGAGAAGACAGCATGAGTATGTGTAGTCCATTTGCACAATCTATTATAAAGTGAGTGTGGAAGAGTTTAACTTCCACACGTACATATGACACGATAAATATACCGCAATGCAACATTTATTTGAGAAACACAAATGTTAAATACATTTAGGTTTTCAAAAATGTGTTTGTAGATACTTGTATACGTGTTTCAGTAAGAACAAGTTACATTCTGAATAGTCTGTATAGCCACTTTGTGTTGAGGCAATGGCTTTAATCATGAAACAACAGTGACACCTACGGGTTGTCATGTGTAGTAAATTATATGAGAAATAAGACGCAAAAGAACCTGCAAAATGTGCAATTCCAATGCGTTTGTATAATGTTGTTTGAAAAGAAAAATACTTTAAAGAAATCAGCTTAATATGACCCTGATTACTTTTGAGTAACCGCATATTTTAGAGTGCAATTAAAATATATAAAAAAAGCTTAAACCAGAACTCATCTACTACAGAAGATGATCAAAGGATTTCAGTTTAGGACAGCGAGCATTGTTTGTGTAGACAAGATGTCAGTAAGCTGTTAAACTTGTAGATCAGGGGTCATACTGAGGGGTAAAGAGAGGTTATTTACTTGCAAGCATAGGACTCCATTTCAGTGAAGTAGACGCAGACACCCTGGTACAGACAGTAGGACTCATGGGAGGAGGGGCAACTCTCTACGGAGTTACTGTTGTGGTGCCCGGTGGTGACATCAGCTGGACTACCGGTCATCAGCCATGGTGTCGTGGTCTCCAACTCTTGAGAGGATTTAGGGAAATAATTATGTTAATTGGACAACTATACAGTATGGCACCGTTTCCCCTCTTATAAATGTAATCATAGTCTGCTCCAGAATACTAGTCCTCCTTCTAGGTGACTCGTGTAAACGTAATATTACCTGTATGATAAAAGGGATTATATTACAGCCCAGTAATGATATATGTACTAGTGTTATTTATATTGTGTCATACTGGATACAAAACTCCACTGTTTTAATACTTTCAATAGTACACCTGATGATCAGTAGCAAGCCAAAATAGACTAATCTTGTCGAACACAGTTGTTCTAATATTCTACAATAGAAATTGTATGTGCAAATAATTGAGACCCACCTTGGCATGTCTTCCCGTTGCCATAATATCCAGCTTGGCACTTGCAGAGATAATTTCCCATGGCATTTTGGCATTCTGCATTTTTGTCACATTTGTGCTTTTCCTGTTTGCACTCATCAATATCTACAACAAATTAAAAAGAGAGGTACATAAGTATTAATAGTAAAACAACAAAATAATTCACTTAACAGCTCATCTAAATGAGAATGTATTATTATTTATAAGCGTTATGGTAAAACAAAAAATGATTATAATGGACAATTTCTCTTTAACTAGGACTGTACTTCTCTGATACATGGGTGAACGTTTTGTTTTATCTATCAAATTAGTTGGCACATGGCCTCTGTCTGCTACATACAGATTTGAAAGGTGCCAACCTTTTAAGAATTTAATATTTAATACATATTTTAAATATTATGAATTATTGGATGAGCTCCCTTTTTAGACGTGCCTTCTGGCTTGATTATCTTTGCTTCCAGAGCAGCTCTGCCTCTGAAATATTTGTATATCTAAAACGAATTTCTACTTAGCTTCCAGTGCTGTCTTACTGCCCTTTTATGCCTACTGGCACCTATGCCAAATGTACAATTCAAACCACTGCTTCTGTAAGTGAGATAAGTGACTCTGTATCTAATGTAATCCATAAGCTTTCCTCAGGATGTGTAACTTCATCCTGAGGCACATTCACAGAACAGGAACAGACATACTCACCAGCACAGACCTGTCCATCACCTGTAAAACCTTCTAGACAGAGACAGGTCGGGCTGCCAGCACTCAGCAGGCACTCTGCATTAACATCACAGCGAAGAGAGTAACACTCATGCTGGTCTGACGGAGAAGGGAACACATGGAAGCATAACATTAAGTTAGAGTAAGATCTTAAGTAGGAACAACTATGAAAAAGTTTCACTGCTGTGCTGTTACCGGAAACCATCTTGTCTGTGAAGCGAGTTGGATCGTTGTCTTCTTCAGAGTCTAGATCATCCCGGGCTTTATCCGCTGACAGCTCCGGGGTCAAGGGGGTGCCCTCATCGTTGAAGGTTTTGTTTTTGAGAGATGTTAAATCTGAGGACTCACTGTCTCCAGATTCTACACAATGAATTCATAAAGTAAAATAGGCATTCACAATTTAGTTTTGCTTCAGAGCTTATACATTATAAACACATATACCGAGATGTTGTGGAGCTCAATAAAGGCTTCTCTTAAATACAAGTGTATTAAGTAAGCTAGCTTAAAACAAATCACCTGCTGTTCCGTTAGTTGCATCCTCAGGCAGGCAGCTTTTCCCGTCAGATGATAGGATGTAGCGTGGCAGACAGGAGCAGTGCGCCAATCCCAGTTTGCTTTTACACACCTGGGCACAACCTCCGTTCAGGTGAAGGCAAACATCTGCCCCTGAAGAGGAGGATGCAAAATTACCATTTGAGTCTCAATCATGAATTTTTAATATTACATTACGTGTCGTTTGTTAGATGCTTTTATCCAAAGCGACTTACATACATTCAGTACTGTGGACAATCCCCACAGGAGCAATTTGGGGTGAAGTGTCTTCCCCAGGGACACAACGACATGCTGACTGCAGTGGGACTCGAACTTGCTACCCCCTGAATCGAAGTCCAGCACACTATCCACTGAGCCACAGCCTCCCTAATAAGATTTGTTGCTGCTGGCCTACACCTATCTTGGCAAATAATTTTCTTTCAGCCATCTAGGATGAAGATTCAGGAGTTGCTTCATGTAGTGTCTTTAACCTCAGTATGTAACTTCTTATCAAACCTAATATAACTCTCGGTTGTCTCTCTGTACCTGGTTTAGCAAGGGGATGAACCACCACAATGGATGCCGGTTGGACCATGTTCCCATGGATACGTTGCAGTTTTCTCCCAGTGCGCTTGTGGACGCTCCTCAGCTGCTGGTGCTCCCGATCGGATATCCACAACCTGTCCTCAAATACGGCAAGGTCAAAAGGTCGTCCTGCAGGAATCAGAATAGAGGGAAAGACACAAGGTGAGAACTATTGTATATCTTTTTTCGTATTATCTAAGGGAATACTGTGAAGGACGCTGGTTAAAGAGCAATTTCAAGATATTTTAATTATGTTTCAAGGAAATAGATGTTAAGTGGGGACATAACTGAATGAATTACGAGTGCAGTTATATTTTTATCCCTTTTTTATAAAGCCTCTTTCGTAAATTACAAGTTCAGTTTGTCAGGTTTAGCTTTACTTTTTCAGTCTCCGCTCTATTTTAGTCACCTTGACGGACTCATGACAGCGTCTGCCGATCTAGGCTGTAGTTCATCAACGTCAGATGTGTTTTTTGAAAGTTTTAGTTTGTACATATTGACAAGCAAAACACATTGCTATTGTATGTGTTTTTCTTTTTTATTAAACCCTTATTTTATTCATAAATATTCAAAATCTCTTACAAGCCAAACTGGCCTAGACAGCAGCATGATATGCAGTATATGTGTGTGTATGTGTCACACAAGCCTCACCTACTTGGTTCTCTACCAGGACTTGTCGATCTGAACCGTCCAGAGCAGCCGTCTCCACCAGGCCCGTGCTCTGGTCGCACCAGAACAGACGATCCTCCGGGAAATCGATGGTCAGGCCGCTTGGTGACACAAGGTTAGTGCTAGCAATGACAGCACGGTGCTTCCCTTTCAAAGAGGAACTTTCCACGACAGGCACAGCCCCTATATCAGTCCAGAATAACTTCCTCAAAAATGAAAAAGAGAATTGAAAATTAGTCATAGCAGATGTATCTATTGCTCACAACATCTAGGTGCTATTGATTTAAGATGACATCCTTTAAGGTTAGTTGCAGTTAGTTTGTAATTTTAATTCCTGAAACTATCATACACATACAGCCACACTCACTTTGCCAAAGGATGAACTGCAATTCCTCTTGGTTTTTCCAGCCCTTTGCTTATAATGGTTTCTCTGTTCAGTCCAACCAAGTTACTGCAGTCAATAGTTGACTGGCTGGGGGACAACAATATACAGAAGTGTTTTAATAAAACATAAATCATCTGATCATATTTAGCCTCATACCTGTTATTTAAACATACTATACAAATAAAGCTGTTTAAGGAAATCTCAATGTTAATATTACATAAAAATACATATTTTATTTGATGTTAAATAAAAAGATTAACTAAGTACAATATGACCTAAGTATCAAAAGCTCAATGAGGTGTTGTCTTACATAAAATACATTCAAAAGCGAATATCTAATGTATAAATCTTCATCACCAGAAGGTAAGGAACATTTTTCACGATCACGTGTTCTCTGCAAACACCACACACCTTGTATCGGTCCAGTACATCCTGCGGTGGATCCAGTCTATCGCCAGTCCTTCTGGAGAGTCCAAACCATCAGAGACGAGAATGTCTCTCGACCCGCTGTTCAAATTAACACTCTCAATTGTCTTCTGGCTTGTACTAGCAAAGTACACCTTGAAATGCATACAAAAATATATAAAGAAATACAGTCATTATAGGAAATATGTGGGCAGTAAAAAGTATGTTCTGTAGGCAACTATCAAAAAAAGTAGAAATATCGTTTTTTTATTTAACATGGTTGAACCCTATTGGAAATCAAATTACATTCTCTGTCCACTAGGTGTCACTAGATGTCTGCAACAAAGTCTGAATCTGGCCTCCCTACATTCTGTCAATCCAGAGTGCCTATATGATTGTATATTAAGACTTTTTCTACTAAGGAGTTTTCATCTTACATTTTGCTGGACAGGGTCATAGTCCAAAGCTATGATTGCTCCTCTGGGCTCTTCCACAACTGTTTGATCACCAGAGCCATCAGGATCAATTTGCCGTACGTTGTCAAAATTAGCAACTAGTAGATATGGTGGTGGACCTGAAGGATTAAAAAAAAAAAGTAGTTAGTGTATATTTACTAAACTTGTCATTATTAGCTTATTTTGTACTTAATGTAAAATACAATGTGTTCATCAAAGATTCACGCTAGAATACACCCTGCAGGATTACATAGACACAGTGTTTATCTGAGTGGGTTTATCCGCCTCAGCTGACTGCTCTGCTGTAGTATGACTCACCAGTGGCGATGCAGCGTTTGCCGTCTTGGTGGAGCTGGTATCCCGGCAGACATCCACACTGCCACCTAGCAGGAGTGACAGGAGTGCAGAGCTGACTGCACCCCCCTCTGTCTGCAGACAAGCAGCCTGCAACGCCGACAAACTGTGTTACACATCCTCGCACAGATAAGCTTTGTGTTCCTCACATAGAGGCCCCATTTTATTTTACCATGACTCATACAGCATATTGATTTAATCCTACGTCACATATCTTGTCATATTACTGTGAACACACCAACATTTGTATGTGGCGTAGGAATGTGCTTTTTCCTAATTTTACCTGCTTCTTTTAGGAGACAGTAAAACTGAGGCTATGTTTTTCATTCTTATTCAGTTAGGCTTAACAGTAGACACTAGGGAGCTGTCCCCTGTACCATATTAGTAAATATTGGCTGGCAATTTAAAACATAGAATAACGCCTGACTCTTCATAAATGATGTCTTATTCTAAATTGATTCAATCATTTTCAATATCATCTGTTGAATAGTAATGCAAAGTGTCCTGGTTACTGTGCTGCTGTGCCTGACGTTTGATCCATCTGACCTCATTATGACTGCTTTGATGATCCAACTCAAAGATTTGTATCTAACAATCGCTAGAAATACCATAGTGTCGAGCAGTGGTTCTCAAATGGGGGTACGCGGACCCCTAGGGGTACGTTGGAGTACTGCAGGGGGTACGTGAGATTTATTTTATGTTAATGAAAAAAATAAATGTTTTAGGAAAAATAACGAAGTTTGAGCAGTGTGGGTTTTATATTAACAGAGTTACACATTTCAAAAGCGAAGTGTAATAACTGCAGTGGCCTTCCTGTCACTGAGAAGATCCTCAGTGAAGCACAAGCCCATATTTCTCACTAAATTGTAAGTACAACTTATTAAAAAGATCAGTTCAATGCAACTAATGTCGTCTCAGTGTTATTGCATGATGTTAAAATTGGTTTGCCATGAATTTAGTGATGGATTGTAAACATTTGAAATGTAGCATTTAAGTGTTTCTCAGTTACAATGTTGTTGTTTTAATAAATCAGGTACATATAGGCATTTTTTCCCTAACAAATTGTTTTTACGCTGATCAGGGGGTACTTGGCTGCATTTTTTTTTCAAAGGGGGTACATTATTGAAAAAAGTTTGAGAATCACTGGTGTAGAGCTTATATACTGGTTTACATTTGTGAAAACTTAAACACTAAATTACACATAATTTCCTTTCAAATAAGATAAAGATGGATATAATGGGAATGGGTCATTACATAGAGCTGTGAAGGTTATATTTGTAGTTAAAGATTAAACTGTGATCCATACCAGTACAGGCTTGTCCATCCTCCTGCAGAGACGATCCCTCCGGACACACACACACATCCCTCTCGTCTGTTGTCAGGCATCCATGGCCACACGTGATATTCCCTCTGCATGGGATGATCTCTGATTGTGGAAACAAAATCTCTTCAAACACATTTATTTATATCAAAACAATAATCTGGCAAAAAAACAGCTAAATCAAAGTTAGTACAAATAATGTCATAAAATACCACCATTAATTTAGGGTTGTATTAAACAGATCAAAGAAATGCTTTAACAAATGTCCAGGTTATTTTGGGGCTCAGCAGGGAGAAGAAATAACACAAATGAACTAAGAGGAAGATATAGAAATATGTGTCTATCATTATTTTATCATTTGTATACCCAATGGAGATCTTAAGGCATATTTGCTCATAATGTATTCTGTCACTAAGTAAATGATAACAAATGAGACGAAAGTTCCCCGGCTTTGTAATCAGTGTGTAATCTCTGTTGTCGGCTCCATTGTCTAGCCTGCCATGTGGCTGCATGTTTGTTCTTTCCTAGACCTTGGTTAAGGATGTCTGTGAGACTGCTTTGACATTAAAGCTGCTGACCAGGTACTGTATGTCACGTTATCATCTAATCGCTTTGTGAACCTTCCTTGTTCTCGTGGCTTCATAGCAGTTATCTAAAAAGAGATTAAGACGTTGCCATAATGTATTTAACAAGGTTGTAAAGTTAATCTCTGTGTAAACACTACCGTATCAGGGATAAAAACAGAACGACTATAAATGATTGCAATGCATATATCTGTGCCAAAACATTAGATTTCATGAGGAATCTGTTCAGACAGATAGGCCTCCAAATAACGAACTTTTGAGTATACTACTTTTTACCTGAAAATTGGCTGTTTGGTTTTAAATGAGCAGAGCAAACATATTTATTGGTATAATCCTAGAAAACAATTATCTACTATCTTTATAATATCTCTGCTTCCATCCACCTGAAACAGCCCCTCAATCTCAGCACCACTAGACCTTTAGTGACAACAAGTGTCAGTGTTTGGACCGAAGTAACACACAATTGGCAGCTCACATATATGTCTCGTCTAGCACATGACCCGGCCTTTTTATTGGCTCTGCAGGGTCAAAGGAGTGTCTGGGGGACAAATGCCACCTTTCACACGACCACAAAAAGAAGAGGGTCTAATGTGAGCCAGAGCTGCTTTCATTATGCTGACCAAAACAAAGAGCAAGTGTCACAACATTATAAATAAAACGTGGTGTTATTCCACTCAGGGATTCTGCAAAAACCGGCAACAGAATCGTTCAGAAATGCTTACATTTGTTTAACGGAAACTCTGTTAATTGTTTTTCTTTATTGTACTACAAAGTCCTTTGCACTGAACTTGGCAAAGCTTCACATTAAGGACAAAAATGTCACATTGTATTATTGAATACTACAATACAACATATGTTTCCACTGTACCTCCACATGTCTTCCTGTCCGGTAGGAGAGCGTATCCTTTAGGGCAGCTACAGAAATAGGAGCCTGGGATGTTTTCACAACCAAGAGAGCAGCCGTGGTTCCAATGGGCACATTCATTCACGTCTATGGCACACACAAACACATAATGAATGATTGCTGTGACCTGCCTTAATATCTAAACTACCTGGATAATTTGGTTTCATGGCATGGATACCAACCTTCACAATGAGTGCCTTGCTTATTTAGAGCAAAGCCTTCACTGCACTGGCAGATCCCTTTCTCGGCTATACTGGAACAAACATTCATGCAATTTCCACTCTGTTCGTCACAACCTGTTTGAAAGAATTAACACCAATAGATTACTCAAACATGGTCATTTCAGACAGATTTACATTTACTTAAGATATAAGTTATTTAATGCAACATGTTATTGAGTAATTTCAGTGTCGGAGTTGAGCATTAACCTGGGGATGATGATTGGTAGTCTGTCATTGGCTGGTTGAGGGGGTGTACCACCTTGATAGCACCTGGGGGTTTTGCGGTTTGTTTTAAGTTCAGTGGTGCTCCGCCAGTGTATTTGTTTACTTGTTTTATAAGCCGAGTAGCAGCATCAGTGTAGTACAAGTGCTCCAGAAAAACGGATATCCCCATTGACTGAGACCTGAACAGAAGAGAGTGTTTGTATCCAAGTTTGCCAACAAAAATAAAGTGATAATTAGACAATGGAAATACAATTTGCTCACCTAAGAGGCTGATCTATGATGTGCAGAACGTTCCCGTTGTAATCACAAGAAGCAATGGCACTTTCTCCTTGTAGACCAAACTGAACCCAGAACAGTCTTTTTTCCTCTCGGTCAATGGACAGTGCTTCCAGTTTTTCTGCTATCTTTATAAGTGTAGTTTTCATCTGTCCTGTCACATCACACCGCTGGATACTCGGAGTCATCCCACCAGAGAGCCAAAAAAGAAACCTGCAATATATAAGATTTAAACCGAGGAAGCACACTTTCTTTTGCAGAAGTTATTTGCTAAGTTTGTTTAGTTAAAAAATAGTAACAGTTGAATTTTTTTTTTTTTTTTTTACAAATGAATACTAATAGAAATGCACCCAAATCAGTTGCTGTTAAAATATTCATTTTGCTTTTTTGATCTAGTATTATTTAATAAATTGTAAGAATGTAATACCTGTTAGTAGGGTCAGCGTTTATGTTACTTGGTTTGGTCAAGTGTCTTAAAAGAGTCCTTTCATTTTTCCCGTTTATATCCATTGCCTTGATTTTTCCCTTTTCTTCACTTGTCCAATATACTCTGTTCCAAAGCCAGTCAACTGCGAGGCCGGAGATATGTTTGTCAGATGAAAGTTTCTGAAAAACAAATGTTATAACAAGTTCAACGCCAGACCAAAACATAATTGTACAATCTTAAGAAAAATAAAACTTAAGATTTCATTAAATGTCATTGCATTTAAATACATTTCATGCAAGGGAATGGAATCTATATGTGCCAGCTGTTGTACAAATGAGTAGTAATAGTTACATATTCACCTGTCTGTGTGCTCCACCCGCTGATGCTTTGTAAATGACCCCACTTTGTTTGTCAGCCCAGTAAACTCTCTCCTCTCTATAATGAAAGTCGAGCAGGATCGGTCTTCCCACCCCAGCCAGAATCCTCCTCTGGTTCTTCCCATCGAGGTCCATCCGATGAATAGCTTTCCCATGGCCGAATATCAGGAAAGGCTGTGAGGCTTTAAGAAAACAAACGTGACATGTGTTTCATAAATTGTAAAAATGCCATTCTTTTTAGGGTCTTAAAACAGCAAATGACAAATTATGTATGGCTTTTTTTTCACTGGCCAAAACCTTGTAATGTCTGCATGCTTTAGTGATTCATGCTAGGTTTATACCTAAAGGTTCTAGCTCATTTTTAACAGTGAATGAGCTACCATGCTACAAGCTACAATTGACCCTCATATCGGGTTTATTTTTATAGGATTTGTCAAGATTTCACATTAACTCAACTTGACTAACTGTCCAAAACTCAACATGTATTCAGTTTACTGTCCTATTACAAAGAAAAGCAGCAACTCCTTTCAGTTTAGAAGAGGACATTGAGAATAAAGAATACTTGGCATATTTGCTTTAAAATAACTGATATCATTAAACTGCTTGGAAGAGGTTGCTGTAGTAAAATAACCCTTTTTTAACCCCACGTTTACAACAGCGTGTTTTTACATTTGAGTAGGTGCAGGTTATTGCTTGTGTAATATTCAGCCCTTCACTCTTTACTCAGTTTAACTAAATTATCCCAGGGACAGGAAGGTAACCCCGGCAGCATTGAACATTTCAATAGCGTCTTTTTGCCTCTTTGTGTCACTCCGTTGCAGAGACATTTGTCAAATGAGTTCAAGGCGGGCTCAACTGCTTCTGGATCCAACATGATCCCTTAGCAACAAATCACTCTGACAATACTCTACATGAAATTAAAGGCTGAAGTGATAAGTGTTTTCTCTTACTAGAATTTAGTACACCACATTTATACAATAAGCTTCTAAATAAGCAGCAATGAAATGGCAACCATTCCACATTTATAAATGGCATGAATTGACGTCCTTCACAAATGGTATGTTGTTGGAAACGGTTAGTTAGGTTTCATAATACATTGATGTAGTTTGCTTCATGACTTAACTTGTTCACAAAAAAACAAAATCTCTGTTAGCTGTCTGGTTGATTAGAGATAGAAGGTGGGCTTATCAATCTTGGTAATAACCCTGCCATGTGCAACCATGGATACTGCTCTTAACTCAGTGGAATGAAGAAAACAATGAGAAGCACCAGACAAATAATATAAAGAAATGTCTGACGTGAGATCTCTAAGATGGCTGCTGTTGCTGAGTTGCTAGGAGGCGTCCTGATGAATCATTGACAAGTTCACATGGTGGTCAGCATGATTCTTGACCTAGTGAGCTCAGTCAAAATGTTCAATTTGTCAATACAGATGAGTCTAAAGAGTCATAGCCATACATACAATTGCTCCCAATGCACAGCTAGAACCAAAATGGAGATTGATTTCCCATTTTACATTGTGGTAACATTATTTAGGGCTGTTTGAGTGGCTATTTAAGATGTTAAGCCAGTTCCTTGGGTTTGCCGATGATCAAATATGCAACTGCTTGAGTATTTCAGCTGTGGATACATTTTCAAACCCGTAAAGGTATATTGACAGAAACAGGATTGGCAATAGGACAATATTTTGGCATTTATACCAACATATAGGTTTACCAATTTGTCCAAGTAATTTACCTTTTTCATAAGGCTTCAGGTCTTGCTTTGCTGAAGTGGAGAGTAAACTAAAACCCTCCAAAGGAAGATTTTATGTAGCTGACCATGACCTTTGACCTCTGTGCGTAAGACACTGAAAGGTAACGGGAACTTTTCAATGGGGATTGGAAAGTTTCACATTATTACAATTCAGTTTTAAACATTATAATTTATGTTTTGCTGGGATAAAGCTAAACTTTGCCAATATGGCATGACAGCAGTCATTCCACAATGTTTTGGACACCAGCGATCAGCATCTGAAAGCTTTAACTGATGTCCTTGTGGCATCCCACAAAAAACTTGGGCTCCGTTTGAGATACTGATACACCCACTCGAGCACAGAGCAGTTAACTGTACCTCTGCTACAGTGCATGTTATTGTCTGCCAAGTTCACTTCACCACTGACCTGTTGCTCTGCTCTTATTTTAGATTGGAAGTGGGTGAGCAACCTTTTAATTTTTGGAATTTCACTTGATTGCAGCTTTTTTTCAATACTGATCACAAGCCCATGACTGAATAGTAGTTATAGCACTTGTTGTTTTCGTACTTTGCACTTTTATGTCTATTATGTTGTATAACTACATGAACATAAAAGCTACAATTTGTGCATATGGGGGTTTCTACCAACCGAGCAAATCATATATTTTTTGTTTCACTAAATCAAAATTGTATGTTGAAATAAAAATGTAGATATCCCTACATAAACTTTGAACTCTACTTATTCACTTGCAATTGTTACATAAGACTGATAACATAACAAATGTAACCATGAACCAACACTGGTTTGCTTTAGGATTGTACATCAACAATATTAATCCCTGGGCAGTGTGGCGCTTTGCATGTGTTTACCATGTACAGTATTAAGCATCATCACTTTTAACCAGTGTGCCTTGTGGAAGTAGTTCCATGGCCAACCTGCCCTATAATGTAATCTTGCAAACCTTTGAAATTGTATCAGAAGTACTAACTAAACCCAGGAGATACTGTTTTTGATTGTTATGATTTTCATCTTAACTTTTTTCTTTGCTAAGTCAGTGCTTGACAGACATGGTCTAAGATCAAAATAACCTCTTATACAGCAGAGTATTCAGTGGCTTTCAGTGGTTTTAACATCTCCTTTATTAATACCATGATAAGGGAGCATCAGTCTAGACAGGAGTGGTGTCAACCAAACTCACCCACACAGCTGTTGTTTCTTCCTGCTCGCGAAAGCCGTTCGTCCCAACATGCTGTACCAAGGGCCAAGGCTCCAGAGCGTTGAACCAAAAAATAGATTAGCGCTGCTATGATCGTTGCAGCCAACATAATCCTGCACTCGGTCCCTGCCTTGGTAGCTGCACTCGTTCACTTTTTCTCAGGCATTTCCACTATTAGCAGTGGCACACAAGAATTCCCCAAAGATAAGCAACATTTGTTTATGGACTGTTGGCATCCTTGTCCAAGTCTTCAACCTTAAAGAGTCAGTGTATCTTTACATACCAAAATACGTCGCGCTAAAAACCAAGCAAAACTCCACTGAAACGATGGAGTACTCCGAATGAAGAGGGTGTGGGATCCTGCTCACTCCCCGCTTCGGCCCCAAAGCTGCCAGTCTGTTTTGGAAGCAAAGATTGAAATTCCTGACACCCCCGTGGTAAATTTTGCACATGCTAGTCCAGCATTGGAGCAAGATCTTCTTTAGGCTGCACTCAGTGTCTCAAGCAGAATGTGGAATATTCAAGAAATGAGGCAGGGCTGAAGAAAGGTCCCACTTAATAAAAACATCTATCCTTCACTCCACCCCCTGACCCATGATTGATGCGTCTGTCTGGAACGACTGAGTTTTTGTGTCTAGAAGACAAACGAAAACAACATGGCATATAAGGCTATTAGGCTGGACACATATAATGTTTGTTGGGAAAAAAAATTTACCCATCTTTTTTCAAACAATACCAGCATTCATATATGAACATTCACTTACAGCATGATTGTTTTTTACCACATACAGTTTAACAGACAAAAAGGCCAAGGCCATGTCTCTATTGCCTCCTGTTTAAGTTCCTCTGGCTCTCAGGGCGAATCGGTAGGATGAGTAATTTATAGAGAATGAAGGAGACAAGTAAATAATCATCACATAGTTTGTCCTCATTTTACCCAGGAGAACAACTAACAGACTGCAGGAACCAAAACCTCTATTCATACTCTCCATGAGTAGGATATTGTCAGCAAAATTGTCACCAGTAAGCTTATAGAGGGGCAGGAGACGATTTACATGGCTGAGAAAGTTGCCTTGTCTCCAGACTAATGTGAGCAGTCTGAAGGGCAGTGACCTTTTCCCACGATTTCAGCCCCTGGCAGATAACAATGCACATGTTAATGTCTATCATTTCCCATCATGTGACCACTGTGCTGAATACCAATCACACATGGGTTTGACCCTTTAGGTACCATTCGTTACTAGGAAACAGCGATTTCTAAGTGTTACTGCCGTATTAAATGCCACTTAGAGTCTGTGCTTTTGTACAATACATAGTTCCAGCCCTTAATTGCAGATGGGAAAGCCTAAGCATTTTTGGAATACTAACTCTTGATTTAAATAATGTCATGATGCCAAATCATCACTCAACGTTTACTCTTGCCTAAAATCTGTGGTCTGTATTTAAAAAAAACATTATTTTACTATATTGTTGTACAAATCTGTTTAGTCGATTTTTCAGCTCACATGTCAGACCAGACCATTTGTTTTATGATTTCAGTAAATAATAACTATTTATAAAAATAATGTTTGATTCAACAAAGCAAATCTTTGAAAATTAGACCTTTGTGACATTGTTATGTTACAAAATGGTTCAACAACCACTGCAATCTTTGAGCAATGTCTTTTTTCTAGCCTTGCTGTTACATATTCTGTCAATACTTACATGTGGCCAATTTTCTACTGGACTGATGTAATGGTGCCAAGTCATGGTTGCCAGGAGATTTGTGGTGTGACTGAAAAGCCCCTTGAGAAGTGAAGTATATCACTTCAAGTGGCCCTATCTGGATCTTTGCTATTACAGGATGGACCACAGCCTGGTAGCAATAATTAAAGAGGAAATGGATCGTATCTGTTTATATCAGTCTGTACATTGATGTGTTGTTATCTCTCTTTTTTCACACTCACCATCCTGCTAGCCCTTGTTTCTCTGAAACGTATCCATCTTTCCATCTATCCACTAATCCATTCTATCTTTTCAACGTTTTTCCTCCACTTACAGCCCAGCCCTTGTCTACAGGCTGTTCATCTGAATGTTTGCATAATAACACCACAGCTGGTATTAGATATTACTTAGTAACGAATGGTTATACAGCTGGTTGCACAGAGGTATCCATGGGAACAGTTTCCCAGGTCCACACATCATCTGAGCAGGATTTATGTCAGTGCGGTACAGATGTTAAGAGAGCGAGACAACTGTGACCCATTGATTTTCAGGATGAACATGTCTGTTCTGGCTCATAACAAACATATGTTATCTGTCTCTGTACATCTATATTTCTTCTGAATTAAATGTTGTGTTTGGTTCATAATAAATGATATGCATTTGTGTGTGTCTTCTAGCAACACATTAATAAATGAAGGGTGTATATGTTAAATAGTATATGATGTTGAGGATACTTTATACAGTACGTGGTCTACAGTCTACATTGTAATACAGCAGTATTTTTTGTTTTGATTTGTTTTTTTGTTGGTCTTATGGATAGTGAGGTGGGCTGATGATCGGAAGGTTGTGAGTTCAAATCTCGCCTGGAACACCACTACTAGTGTGCCCTTGAGTAAGGCACTTAGCCCTCAGTTACTCCAGGGAGAATGTCCCTGTAATTGGTCATTGTAAGTCACTTTGGAATAAGGCGTCTGCTAAATGCCTAAATTGTAAATAATATTTTTGGGAGAATAAACCCCACAGATCCTCAACTCCGGTGTGTCTCATTCATTAACAACGCAACACAGAGCAACAAGAACGTTGTCTACAGTAGCCATGAACTCGCATGTATTTTCTTATTTGAGGGGGGGTGGATGCGTGGGCCACCCGAATAGGTTAAGGGGCCTTTGGCTTTTCTTGCCGGGGGGGCATATATATGTAAGAATCAAATTCTGTAGGAAACACTGTACAGGGATTTGATTTCACCAGAGGCCTGTACTACGAAGCTGGTTCAACCTAGCCTGGATATGTTTGAGTTAGGCGGTTGGCCCAATCCAAAACATACGCGCTCTGGCTAAGCTGTACTACGACGCTGGTTATCAAGTGGATCGCTCAAGCCAGCCGTGTCCTATCTAGTTAGGTGCGCGTTCACATGAAAGGGGTGGTATTTGGAGCATTCGACCAATCTCAAACACGGACAAGCGTACTGACAGCGCAGCGCCATACTTCCTGAATGAAAAGTGAACTTTAATATTAGTCAAATATGAAGAAGTTAAACTTTAAACATCCATGACTTAAACACTTTCTCCAGGATAAAAGCCACATAGCTGCACCTGCAAGGTGAATACAGCTGGTAAAAGAAAAAGTGTTTGAATGCGTACATTAACAGGTTTATGAAATCACTGCCCCGTCCAAGACACGAGTGGATCTGACTTTAATTACATTTGACTCGAGTGTTTCGTCAACTTAATGTGTTGCTTAAAATAATACTTCTGCATACAGTATGTGACACTGTGAGTGTTGCACAGCCAGATACGGCTCAAGAAGCTGACTCAAATAAGGAAATATATGATACATTATGATGTGATATGATATGAATGATAATGGGACACATCGACGTCTGCACTCACAGTGCCGCGGACTGTACTTAATGTTACTCTGATCCGGTTACTTATGTCGTGGCAGATATTTAAGTAAGCTTTCTTAACGCTAATGTTATAATAGTCAGATTGCTCTGAAGATGGGAGGGGATATTCTATTAATGTTCACGTTCACACAGTCAGTTGATTTTGGCCGGCCGTCTTTCCTGCAACGGCAGTTTTTCTGTATTTCCTCCATCCTGTAATATGAATTGATCGCTTTAAACTCCGCACACGGAGCTCTGATTGGTCAGCAGGCAGTGCTTTCACTGAGTTGATCTCTTAGCCTGCCACCTAACCTGCTCCGGAGCAGGTTTGCCGCTCAGCATAAGTTACCATGGAAATCTAGCCTGCTAAAAAGAGAACCAGCGTCGTAGGACCGGAAAGCCCGAGTTTTCCCTGAAGTCAGCCGGCTAAGCGAAAATCCGGCTTCGTAGTACAGGCCTCAGGTGAAGCCTAAAAAAGACTTACAATCTGTTGCTGATGTAAAAATCCTGAGGGATTATCCGAGAAATAACAATTGGGCAAAGTTCTGAAAAACATAGATTTTAAATGTTCATCAATGAAAGCCAGAGAGGGGTGGTCTTTTGACAACTGAGTTGCATTTACTGAGATGCATGCAATATTCATGCTTTTGATGGCATTAATGTTATTTTATATACAAATATGTGCCCATTGAATACCTACAACCTATTTTATGTGTTCACCTACTCTTATAAAGCATAAAACACAACATGAATATAATTCATCAATTGTTTAGTTTATTAAAAACAAATGTAAATCTCCATCAATAGACACATATACATCAAGTCATAGGAACTGGCAATGTTTATCAGAGACACATATTCTAATAAACACAATGACCAGACTTACTTGTCCATTAAGGCAACAATTAGCTTGATGCTTAAAATAATAATAATAATATTGTCAATGTGATGGGAAGTGGATAATGGATATTCTTTGACACCACCACATACTATTCACATCTGAGACTTTGGCATTGGGTGTCAAATAAAATCCCACACACAGCTAACGGACAGGCTCTTTGTATGGCATTACTATTTATATCTTATAAGTCCAACAAAGGTGCCGTGCGGTAGTGACAAATCATTCAAATGTCTTCAAAAAAATCAAATATAAGGCCCCATTTTAATAAGGACAAGAATAAGAATAGCAGGTGGTTATCGACTGTTCTGATGTGTTTTCATGTTACCTAATGATGTCATATCATAACCTTGATCTGTATTGAATAAGGCATATAAAGAGAGTTTTATATAAGTTGTTACTAGCATGGCGTTTCAAGAATCGCCATGGATTCCTGGCGTCAGCAAAGATACTCACACCGGGAACTGTCACTCTTGGAGGTCATTTGGGAGTCATTGCTCGACCTGGAGCACAGGAGCATTCGCTCTGATTCGTGAGTTGCTCTTCTTGCCCAAAGTTGCGTTGGTTGAGAATTTACAGTCCTTTGTTTCATTGAAATTGTCTCAAATTTGACATAGCTGTCTTTTTCAAGCTCCTCCTCGTCATATTCTGTGTTCTGTCCCTTGTAGTACAAATCAATAATGTTGTACATTAAAAGGGCAATGAGAGACAAAACCAAAATACAGGCAATGCCGCTTATAAAAATGAAAAGCTTGTTGTTCTCACCATCCTCTACATCGTTCAATGTGTAGAATTCAGTGCAAGGATCTTTTCCAGCCGCACTACCTTTTACTATGAGGCAAACTGAGTACCTCATCCCAGATGATAATCCCTCCAGGAGCACTTTTCCACTGCCAGCTTTCGTCTCCACCGTCCTTTTCATGTCATCCTCATCATAGGGTGAGTATACCACTGTAAGTGGGGCATCATTCTGTAACCCATCTGCTCTCCAGAGCAACACTGCAGTGTCAGATGTTTCCTCTACAATCTTAATGTCTTTGACAGACTTTGATTTGTCGATTATCTTGCTCTTTTCATCTGCTGCAAGCTTTCTCCCATTGCCTCCTGGCTGGGGTTTTGCTTGTTTCAATGGGCCTTTTTGTAGATTGTTGCTTGTGGTCGTTTTTGGCCTCTTGGGGGCCGCAGAAGTTGTTGACGTTGTTGACGTTGTTGACGTTGTTGGCGTTGTTGACGTTGTTGACGTTGTTGACGTTGTTGGGATAGCTGTTGTCATCATAGTGGTTGAGATGGGAGTGTCCGTTGGGGGAATAACTGTTGTGACTTGTTTAGTTGGTTCAGTTTTATTGCTAAGCCTTAGTGGAACCATGGTGGTACTGATGTCACCTGCAACTGAGACCAATATGGTGGCTTCTGCATTGCCAGCATAATTCTTAGCTTTGCAATTGTAGTTCCCCGCGTCTTCGAACGAAATTCCGTGCAAACTCATGATGGACCATCTGATGCCGTCTCCAGGTGACTCCTGGACTAGAGTGGAACAAGAACACAAAAGAACATGGATACAGTTTTACAAAGCTTTTTCCAATGAATTATGAATTATTGGCCACAGTAATATAAACGGTTCAATGCAATTAATTTGAAAACGCTATTGTTTTTCCTTACTAAAATACTTTCAATTGTATTACATATTATACCTGTGTTGTCGACGGGTGAGCCATCAGACTTAGCCCAGGAAAGACTTGGTGTTGGAAACCCTGTGGCGTCACATCGCAGGATAACATTGCTTCCCAAATCAGATGTGATCTTGGATGCTGAAGACATGACGGATGGTTTTACACAATTGTCAAGTTCAGCACGCTGAAAAGGGAAACCAGCCAGATTCTCTGGTCCACTGCAGGCCATGAACAGGTCCATCAAAACAACTGGCGTCCCAGACATTTTTGAAAGCTCAATCAGCTTGGAAATTTTACAGTCACAGAACCAGGGGTTATCTTGGAGCCCTGAAGACAAAAACAGATAAGATCCATTACAGTAATGTATTGCTGTTTGACAGCAGTGCAGTACTTTAAAGCATTTTGAGTTATTTTGGAAATGAAAGAGGATACAGGTAGCAATACACAACACATGTGGAATATGGCTCACTGACATTCAGTTAAAGCCGAAACTCTCTTTGTGTTTTTTAGATTAATGCAAATGATAATGAAATGCAAGGGCTGTTTAAGTGAACACATCGTAACCTATATATACTCCCTTACAAATAGCTGCAAACCCCTTGTGCACACAATAGGTAAGCACATGTACTTGTGCATATTAAAACCCTTTAACCCGATTAGTTTGTCTTAACAGTTGCGAAGCACCTAAGCCTACTCTGGCCTCCCTCCAGTTTGCGGCAACACTCTCTTTCCATTAGCCTTTCTGTTGGCGGATATGTCAACAGATCACTGACAACTTTAACCCTTAATTCTGCATGTCTGAAGTGGTCCCTGCAATTTTTGTTTTAAGTCCAAACCCCTATTTAATATTCTGTATCATCAAAAAAGAGAATACATAATGTTAATTAAAGCTGTTAAGGTGAGCATATCACTCTTATAAAACTAACATTAACTGCTTTTAGGCTACCAGAAGCTTTTGTGTGATTTTCCATGGACTGTTATTTTTTCTTAATCCCGTTCCTCCTTCAGGTGAACCACAGCACACTGCCAGCTCTTTTCACACGGATAAGCTAGCTTGCCCTTTCGTAGCCTATTAATAATATCCCTCCCACTGTCCTTGCAACACAGACACTATAAACAAACATACATTATTGTATACGCTGGGCCCGTCATATTCCAAACATTTTGGTTTAACTCTACAATAACGTAATATTGGCATACCTCCTATAATGACAAGCTCTGATTTATGGATTTGAAACTATCTTTAAAATTCTGCCCTGCTTTAAAACAACATCTTAAAATTCCCATCTGCATATTTCCTCCGTCTTTACCTCTAACTTGATATTTTGCTATCAATATAGTACTTACAGTAAGTAGTAAGTGTCCTTGGGTACAAGCTATTTCAGTGACATTGCCAACACATGTCTGTTCATGCCAAAAACAAACACGTATTGTTTCTTGCAGTTTTTGATCCCTGTAATCTATTCCTTTGATCAGAGTCAATAATACATGTTTACTGACAAATCTGCTCATAAATGTAAATACTGCTAATTCAAGTAGGGAACACTTCTCTGTTATTAACTGTCTGCTATCCTCTGAAGATGCAAACACAGATTAATTTAACTGAAATAGAGAAAACCTTTAACATTTGTTATTGTCTAAACCTATTTTATCTTATTTTGAATAGAAGATGTATCAATGTAAGTTTACTCTAAATAACCCAAATAATGTAAATCTGCTTCTTACAATCCTCACTACAGTTTTTAGGAATGCACAGAAAGGTCTTGGCACTTTTATAACAATATAACCAATGTCTTGCAACAGAAAGCTAGCCAACAAATGCACATTTTTTCACGATGTTTATACCGTGATTTACGGTTTATTTTACCACAATGATGGTCAAAACATTTTTATAACGATATCTAGCAAAGGTTTAATTTTGGCAATGCACTTGACTTTGGCTAGAGAAAAAAACTATGAAACCTTATAGTGGAATTTGAGGTGTGTCAGAATAGCAGAAATTAAGCAACCAACCGTTTAAATTGAGATGAATGTTTTATCAAAACATTACAGGTCATCCTGTTTTGAGCAATATACGTCAATGAACATGTATTTCATTGTGTACATTTAATACACTGCATGGGTAGTCGAAATACGATGCACATGCTGTTTCTTTGTTTTGCTTTGCTAACTTGATCCTCTCTTGGATTGCCCAGACTGAGTGTGTTAAACATTTAACAGTTAATTAGGACAATAATTTGATAATTTACATTAAGTGTCAACTCTGCCCTGCTTAGAATAAGCCAATTTGATAGTGCCCTCGCAGTCACCAGCTGGGGATGAAAGGGAGTTCCTCAGGTAATTACCAACAACCCCAAAAGTGTCCTGCCCTGTATATCCTATAAAAGTAATCCTGGCAAAGCCTTTTTATCCTTACCTAATACAACTTTCTGGGAGGTGTTAGCAAAGATGGGTGCTCCATTGAAGGGCGGCCAGATATCCATTAGATCAGAGGGCAGGGTGGCTAATTTGTTGCTGGATAGATCCAAGTATGTAATTTTGAAGAGATACGGTATTGCTTCATTGGGAACATTAGTGATCCTGTTGTTGTGTAGATCCAGTGTCCTCAGCATTGGCATCTCTTTCAGAGACTCCCAAGGGAATACGGAGATCATATTTCCATCCAGCCTCAGCTCGTGGAGCACTTTGAGGTTGTAGAAACCTGCAGAATCCACTGAGGTTATGGAATTGTATGTAATCCACAGGTACCGTAGCTCCACCAGGTAGTAAAAAGCTTCTGTTGGGATTCGCCGTACCATGGTTTTCTCAATTCGAAGTTTGACCGTGTCCACAGGGACATTGACTGGGACGTCAGCCATGTCTGGATCATTGCAAACCACAGATCTGAAACGAGAGATACATAAGTTAAATAGTTTGAACATAATGTATAGCCAGATAACAAAATTGATTTAAAAGGGTATTTAATACTCAATTTCAAATGAAATGGAAGTCGGACATGACTGTAGTCCTACTATAGGGCACTTTCCAGATCTCAATAGTGAGTGATCATTTGGATTGACTTCCACTTCAGGGGTTGGAATATCTGGAACAATTTATAAGATATATATGCAACACAATAATTTAGTTAAATAACTTTCAATAGGATAGTTTTTAATGACATGATTTTTAGCTATTACTAAACTATGATGATGATGTTTATTTACAAATATGATATAATCTTAAAGCTCCCATGTCATGCTTTTCCGGTTATTACCCGTCCCCTTGTGTGTTATGTAGCTTTTTCTTCATGTAAACGGTCTGCAGAGTCACAAACCCTCAAAGTACACCCTGTAGCGAGTAAATCTCTAACACAGAAAAGACCTGTCTATGCTGCCCCAGAACGCCTCGTTGGAGATTTCTCTTTTTCCATTTCTTTCATCCAGGTACCAAGTGACGTAACGACGATCGAAATGGACCAATCCGTGGAGCTCCTCACACACACACTCACTCAGCCTTATCCTTTCTCAGCCGCGATACTCCGCGGAGTTTCGCCGGTACACTCGGCCTTATCTTTTCTCAGCCGCAGCTGCGTGGATCTCCACTCACAGTTCGCCACACACTCACGTGTGTGTGCTCAGGCTGAGTTCAGGCTGAGTTTCGCCATGTCTCGATGTCTCACAGACCCCCACGCAACCAGGAAACAACACCAGTAATACAGCTCACACTGTCGGCTCCTCGAGTCTCAAAGGGCGGAGCAGCGAGCCCCGCAACGTCCCGCCAACACGGCACCCAGTCAGACCCCACGCAGCATTCTCATCTGTTTGTCATTCCTGATGTCATTTTCTGGTTGCTAACAAACGCCATTGTAACACATAAACACACATCAGAGCACAGTGGGCTCATAGGGAGGGGGGGGGGGGGGGCAGGAGCTTCAACAAGGTGTGTAGGACAGAGAGTGAATACACATACTATACAGAGATGCTGTATGAGAAAACCAATGTGATTTTGGAACATTGAACAATGTAAATCTATTTTAGTAGACCTCAACAATGGAATTATGATCAGTAGAAATGGCCATGACATGGGACCTTTAAGTATCATGAGGGCCAAGGGTCACTTTTATACCTATTTTGCAATTGTCAAATCCTACTTCTCACTGTTGGTTAAAATCCCTTTATGGAAACCAACCAAGCCCAAGGAATTTGGAATAGTATTTGTTTAAATGCTGCTGTTAGGCTTTTAGGAAAAGCATGCATTGTGGAATAGGGTTTGGTTCTTATAAGACTGATTATGCAGGGGTCCATTAGGTCTTTTTAAGGATAATTCGATTGGTATCATCCCATGACATGCACATTATGTCAATACAGGCAATAACATGTATAGAAGTTGTACTGTTGTTGTGGTTCACAGTACATGTAGACTTTGGATTAGTGAGTTTTAAAGCTACAGTACAATGGCTCTGCATTTCAGCTCGTTTATCCCATCCAAATAGGGTTTCACTCCAAAACATGTACACACACCGATGGAAACAAGCTGTGTGCTCCACACTAAAGATGTGAATATAACTTAAGTGCGTCCTCTTCACTCCTTTAACACGGGTCATACTAAATGTTGTGCTCATTCAAAAGGGTCATTATTGTATAAAAAGCATCTGAGAACTGTTTCACAAACTTAGTTGAAGACTAACAGTGATGTAAAGAAGATTTCGTTTTTAAATCTATTATTTGTTTAATGAAGGCATATCAATAGTGTCCAAAAACTGAGAGAATCAGAGTTAACTGTACCTTGTTCTTGCTCCGTCGGTATGTCCATGTAAGACACAGGTACACTGGGATGGACAGAAGGGATGAGCCAAACTGAGACCGCATAGGATTACATACACTAATAGAAGTTGACGCATTGTTTCAGCAAAAACACCCACAGTTCTCACATTGAGAAGAGATCAGATAAAAAGACATCCGGATTCATAGAGAGCCTGAAGAATAATTATTTCCAAAAATGAAGAATAAAGAAAAGAGCTTCCATAGTCCATACGAGGCACCGGTACGCAGGCTGAGGACCTGATTACACAACAGGTCACCTGTCGGATTGACACTGTTGGAGGGGGAGGGGGGGGGATTAGTAGAGGATTTCTTGGGTTTGACTGGGCCACGCAAGTTGGCTACAACGCAGATGCAGTCACTTCAACATGTCGCTAATCAGCTAATCCTAGAGAGGTTTCCCGTGAGGTGATCCAGCCACGCCTCTGTTAATACATTCAGTTCCCAACCTCACTAATGTTTATGTCCTAACCCTGGCTCTTACAACTGTGTGTTCCCGTACAAAAATACTCCATCTTCTTCTGCATTTGTGGGGACATTTATTTTCTTCGAGAATGTCTGGGTACAATTCTGTGTACAATTCTTGCATTCTAGGTATCCGCTGACTCTCTAGACATTCCTACAATTTAAATGTATCGGGCTAGAGGCCATATACAAGATGTGTGAGTGAGTTATGTCTGGCACTATGGTGCAAAGTGTAATCTTGGATGTGATTTATTGCCTGACTGGGTGCTCCAGTGGCTTGGGGCAAACTCAACCTGTCTACTGATGACGTGCATCCCTTTCATATGTTGTGCTCCTACCTAGTATAGTCTTATGTTGATAGACATCTAAGCATTGTACAGTTTACAGCACATGCTTCTTACATCATCCAACATAACCCTTAACCTTAATGGCTAACTTTAAGGCATTTGAAAGAAAATCCTCCATATTGTTACTATAGCGAGAGACTCTATTCCTGTTTAACCTTTATTTGAAATTATAATCACATATTTGGGATTTGGCCTCTTATGTATTGGCCATCTCGTTTCTTTAGTCTTAGCTACAAAATGGTAGAAATTGAGTATATCACCCCCACATCTGTTAACTTAGAAACTGTGCAGTGTTGACAGTCATTAAGCACTATTTACAGTAAAGTTGATTTTATTAGACTAGTAGGATTATTTACTTTTACTTCTTATTGTACGTCCATTGATTATTGTGCTTTTACTGACTTCCTGACTTGCAGTACAATATTGTTTTTAACAAAACAAAACACAAGTAAATAATTATTTGCAAAAATGTATCACGTCAATTATAAAAGGACCATATTATTTCTGTATTATTAAAAAATAATATACTAATGTGCGTTTTTATAATCTTACTCATCTCTCAGTCTTCACTTTTGGCTGCCAACGCTTTATTGTCATTGACTCAGAGGAAAGGGAGATATCTAGTGGTAGGAGGTTGTACTGAATGCATACATGATAAACATACATTTCCTTTCTTCTATTAAAACATCATCCATGTTAAAGCAATCTAATCCTGCCTTATCATATTTCATCGGACATGTATTAACAGTGATATACTGTATGGCTCATATGGTTGCTATTACAAAACTCTACTACCAGGACTACTAAGTGATTTTAACCTAAACATCACACAAAATGGACCCAAGACACAAGAGTATTTATCAACAAGTACACAAGTGAGTTTTATTAATGCAAGCAAATTTGATCATACAGGTCAAATAAGCCACTTCAAGCTGATGGCACATGAATGTACAAAACATATTCAATTTAAAGCTTGCTACTAAGTATTCGTAGTGAAAGTACAAAAGACTAATACGAGGAGAAAGCTGAAAGCATTTATGAGATCATTACAGAGTAAGCAATGTTGGTACAAGTATTAGTTTTAAGACATGGTTGAGAGCTCATCACAAACTAAATAGACACAACTCAAAGACTACAGTCTCTAATATCAGTAGCATAACGCGGTAAGCGTGGGAAGTTTAGTACTGCACATATAAACAAAGGGTTGATCCAGCAAGACAGTCATAAGTGTAAAAATAAAGAAGCGGAGTAAAGTCACTTTTGAGTCATTAAGACTATATTAATGCATGTCCATGCCACGAAAAACATCTAAATTCACAGTCTTTACTAACAGTACAGTTATCCAACTTTGAGTTGAACACCAATGCGCTTACATCTAGAGAGCACAGAAATGGTCAAATAAGTGCATGAAACTAGCTTTAAGGAATACCGACAAAAACAGGTTTTGCCAGGCGATGAACTGACAAGCCACCTTTGCAGTGGTATGGCATCAGGATGTGTAAGCAATACAGTTACTGTCATGAACAAAATTACTGTGACACACACTTTTCTCACGTCTGACGATTCACCAAGGAGTGCCATTACACCAACAACTGTCAGGGTTTATTTTCTATTGAGACAGAAAGATGCAGAGCGGAATGACCCACAGTGACCTCCATCTATTCTCACATGAATTGTCCTTAAATGTCAGTGCTTAACATATAGGAATGATTTGATATATTAGTATATACAGTGCAGAGTTCTGCAGGAGTTTTGTATTCATAAAGTTCCACTTTAAAGAAATAAAATAGGGCTTATGAAAGTATGTTTGCATGTGCTTTTGTGGCTCGTGATACGACACAATGGAATCCTTCACAGTCCTAAAATACATTTAATTGGCAAGATTATAATAAAATAACCAATTATTTATCTTAATTGACCTATCACTTCTTTGATATCAATTAAAGTCATTGTTTCCTGTTTAACAGGATTGGCACATCTAGCAAATACTTGCTGTTCTCGAGATTTGGTATTTATTCTTGTGTTGTCTTGTTATGGTATAACTTCAAATAGAAAAACTGATTGAATTACTTTGATGTTAAAGTGGTTTTGATCCCTGGGAATACAAAGGCTTATGATGCTTTATGGTTGCGTTGTGACATTTAAAATATTTCCAAAACTAACCACCCATTCACATACAGTACATTGTTTTTGAACATGAAATCTCCAGACACACAACACGAGAAATGTGCTTGAAAACCCTTATAAGCCCCTGTTGACCCCCTCGAAAATAAGCAAAAATAAATTATGCATGAGAGCAAAATGACACGTAGCATCAAATAAAAAAATAAGAAAAATAAAACAACTGTACGCAAATTATTCAAAGTAAAAAAGAAAGAAATACTACTGCTAACTCTGATTCTACAAACTACACTATAGTTACTATCAGCACTAAACAACTTCTATCAAGAACTATATAACTGCCATAATGATAATCATAACACCATCCATGAGAGAGGTAAAGGGGCTTTTTTTTTCATCTGAAATGCTGTTTGTGACTGGGGAGGTTTGTGTGACGTTTCCCCCCAGACCACATTGTCATATGACGCACCAGTGACATCAGCAGTGGCGAGGGCCCTAGGCGCCATCCGCCCCCCCTCGGGAGGGGATGGTAGAGAGAGACAGATAGAAAGACAGAGGAGAGAGAGAGGGAGAGAGGCCGGAGTGGCAGGGCCAGGCCTCACGCTGGTCTTTATGTGTAGGCGTTCAGACGCTCCTTGGAGCGCGTGGAGTGGATGTCGTGGAGCTCCTGCTCCTCCTTCGACTTGATGTCCTCGTACTTCTGCATTCGGCAGGCGTCCTTCACGTAGGCCCAGTTGGCAGACAGCACCATCAAGTAGTGGATCTGTGAGGTGTTGAAAAGGATGAAGCGTGACACGAATGCAAAACCGATTTTTGAAAATCCCAGAAGATCTGCCTTTCATGCTTTGTAGGTTCACACATACAAGGAATTTGTTTCAGTATATAATGGTGCATACATAGGCAGAGTAAGAGTTATGAAAGAGGAACAAATATAGAAGAATTATGAAAATAATAACTATCATAAAATACAAATAAATGTTTGCAAGAATATAAATATACAGAAAACTAAGTACTAGGACAATATGTCCAATTATTCCTGAAAAGATGTGTACACCTTTGCAGAAATGTGCAAATATCCAAGGTATACTGTATTAAAATGAGCAATACTGGCTCACATGATGTGCGTTAATGACACAATGTAATGTTATGTATTCCATAGTTTCTAATCCAAATATAATTTATACATTTTCTCAGTAGTCTGACTACTTTTATGGTAATTTAAAATGCAATGAATATGATTGTAAAGCTTGTTTTGGAATGCATGCCAAAGTTAAGGAGAACATTTCCAAAGATCCAGCAGGTGGCAGCATAATGCAAAATGTCTTGGACTTGTTACCATGGCAGCTAAGAATATAATGAATGTATTGTGCTTTAATGACCGAGGTTGTAACACAGATTTCCTTTTCACAAGCAATGACAGTTTTATAGCTGCTCTGCTCTTTGTTTGCGACCATTTAGCAACTGAGATTAAAACACTTTTTATGTTTTTATCACTGATTGTGTTTTTGGCTTTGAAGCTGTTTTGAGGGCAGCTCATTCTTCCAATGTGTCGGCGTGTCTGTCGAGATGGATTTTCTCATCATTGTCATCAGATTGGGAAAAAAAACTAGTTTGTACAGAAAATGGTCGTGCCACAATTTGCAGCATCATCCGCGAATAACAAACACTTTCTGTTTCTCAGAAAATGGCTCCTCACAAATTACTGAGTGATGTTTGCAACTATCTCAGAGCCTTTCTTCTCCCTGTTTCCATGACAACGGCCATGACATGCCTGGCGCCTCTGAAAGAGGGAGGGAGACAAACCCTGTCTTTTTCACTGCGCCAAAATGCCTTCTCTCCCATCTACAGCTATTCTCTCTCAGGCAAACACAACACAGGCGCGCCATCAGGCAGCCACAACAAAACACAGCCACATCATTTTCCCACAATTCAAAAAACGGTAAACTCCTACGCCTGTCGAAATGACATGCTGACACCAAATAGGATTATAAGTGCTACATTATCTTCAAAATATATGAATAAAAGCCAAGGTGCAATCTTTGGCATACGCATTAAAAATATATATTTCACAGAATGTATTATTTGATGTGGCTGATTTTAAAGATTTAAGATGTTTTGAATTGCGTTTCGTATTTTTCATCCCCTGA